GGGACACGCCAAAATGCATGCACCAATCACGCAGCCCATCTGCCGTCTCGGTACCAGTCGTGCCATCAGGCCGGTGGTTCACAGCTATTGCGAAGGTAGCAACGTGAACAAGCACCACAAAGAAACGATGCTTATACACACATTGGTCTAGTTGCATCTCATGTGGGTGTCCTTGTGGTCTCTTGCGTTTAGGTCTAATTAGGGTTTAGTTTAAGGTTGACATATAGGCTTCAAAGGTTAAGCTAGAAAGCTCACCTAATATGACCCGTTAGTAACGAACCCAAGACCCTCCTCAACACCTAAATCCCTAAACTCCTAAACACCCCATGTGGGAGTTAGGATTAGGGGACCCTCGGGGATATAGACCATCGCAATAAGGTCCCTTGTCAGAGAGTTTAGGGTTTATAAAATTAGGGGTTTAAGGTCTAGGGTTAAAGCCTGAAAACCAAACTCTAAACCCAAACCACAAGCACCGAAGGCCACAAGACGGTAGATCCAGACGCCCCGAGCAAAAAACACAACGCCCTCGAAGCTGATAAAACCACATCGTAACTCTCCCTAAACCCTGAACCCTGAACCCTAAACTCTGAACCATAAACCCTAAGCCCCAATCGGCCCTAAACCCAGAACGCTCAACCATCTAAATACCAACTCCTGAACGAGTTGGCCTGAGACTGCGGCCGGTGGAGGAGAGGCCAGGTGCGAGCTCCTCTGTCACGATGCCTGAACCAAGCAGGATTTTAGGGTTTAGGGTTCAGGGTTTAGGGATTTAGGGGCGTAGGGTTTCAGGGTTTAGATTAATATAAAAAAAGGAATTTAAGGATTAAAGGATTAAAAAATTTAGGGATTTAGGGGTTCAGGGTTTAGGGTTTAGTTTTCGATGTGCCCCGCCCGGATTTTTCAATAAACCCTAAACCCCGCCCTAACCCCCCAGGTACCTACTCTGTAGGGCAATAAACCCCCTAGGGCCCTATATGGTAGGTACCTGGAGGGTTAGGGCTAAGGGCCTTACAGTTACAGCAAGTTTTAGGGTTTAGGGCTACGGGTTTAGGATTCAGGGCTCAGGGTTAAATTTAACTCTGATTGACAATCCACCTGCTTTAACAGCCACATTCTTGGAATCCATATCACAGACCTCAGATTAATCAAGGGTCTACCACACGTTTTATGCTGAAGCTGTTTACATTAGAAGGCATATTCTCAATTCACATTTTGGGGATGGATTTCAGCTGCAATTACTAGGCAGCTGACCCTGAAACAAGCACTATGAACCCTCAACCTGTCGAAACCGCACCTCTGCGTAGGCCCTTCAAGGAGCACCTGAATACTCAACTTCATACTGGGGCCTTCAGTATCAGAACAGGGTTGAGGGGGTATGTTCTGGCGGGGTCAAAACAAGACACCGAGACACAGAGTAGCATATAATTCTTCTTTAACCCCATGTCTACTCAACCGTTTTCGTTGGCGGCCCAGCCGCTGCTTCCGGCAGGTTGCAGCTACTTTTCCATAGGGTTTAGGGCTTATAAGTTTATCCACCATGAAACCTTGAAGCCTAAACCCTGAGCCCCAGACCGCGTCTGGATGAACATTCGAGCTGCTTTTGGCAAGGCGCAGTGGCGCACCTCGATGCCGCGAGAGCACTCATACTCCTGTCACATATGCACCTCCGGCCAGCTACCTCGGCCATTGAACACAACGCGAAGCTTCCCGTTGCACTTTGGCAACAGCAGCCGAGGCTTTGTGATTTCTGCTATGGCTTTCCTGAAAACTCCGCAAGGAGCCCTATATACACTCACCAAAAAACCCAAATACGCACCCTAGTGCCCTAAGGCATCCAAAACCCTGAAACCATAAAGCTCTAAAACCGAAAACCCTCAAGCCCTAAGACGCTAAACCCCTAAACCCCTAGACCCCCTAAACCCTAAACCCCTAAATCCTAAGCCCCCTAAGCCCTAA